TTTCAAAGTGACATTTGAATCCCCTCTCTCTGATGAAATCCCACCTATTGATCCAGTCAAATGACTGCAGCCTCCTCAGGTCCATCCTGAAAGCCTCCTTGACCAGCTTATTACCACAATTCTTCAGGTGTGCTGTGACTGTCTTTCAATAGAGGATAGGTGCCAGCTAATCAAGTGGAAAAAATGAAAATTCCCAGAGATTAAATCCTAGTCCCGGTGAAAGATATGGCAAAATTCCCATGGAAACCAGTGGCTACATGTATCTTAAGACATTATCTCAAGTCTGAAATGCCATTTGAATACTGACTTCCTGATTTATGCAATGAGTTTGACTTGGAATTAACAAATTCATTGCCCTTTCCCCAGTAGCTTGAGCACTGAAGGGGCTGGCTCACATAGGAGCCATTCCCCTCAGGGTGGTGTAATGGGATCCAGCTGGCTTGGGTCAGGCTGCCCTTGCTTCTGGAGACTTTGTGGTTTCATGACTCCCTTTGCTCCCTCTATACTCTCCACCATTTGCTCCTGTCATCCCACTACAAAAAAATTTACCTGCTCTGGCCTGCAAAGGAGCCCTGCTATTTCTGGACTGCTGCCTACAAGAACAACTTCAGGTGCTGAGGAAAAACGAATCCTTGTGAAAGAACAAGACTAGGTTCTATGTGGAAAAATATTGACTCCCAATTGGAGGTCTGTGGATTTAGATCAATTTTCCTAGCAAAGGTGAATAGCTCTGATCTAAACATAAAAAGGAGTCTGTCATGGTGAGATATAAAAATGTGGGGGTAGCTGTCAGGCTCGAGATTGGTCTTGATGAAGTATAAGTGCTGACAAGCCAATAATGAGCTAAGGCCCATGGTGAGGCTGCAACAAGCTGGGGCCACTTGGCTTGACTAAGTGAAGCCCAAATGCTGGCATCACTGCTGGAGGCAGGACAAGCATAGTCAAAAGGAGCAGGATTTCTTTCTTGATTTGCAAACAGAGTATCACAGTTCACACGCCTTGCGTGAGGGTGCGTGGCAGTGTGCTAATGCACATATCTTGCCTCAGCTTTAAATGGTGTTTGACTATAAAAGTTAATACCTTTGATGCAGCATTCCTAAAAGGAAGTGTTTGTCAATTTTGCTTTAAGGGTTTGAGCACAACAGCCTTAATTCAATGTGTCAGATAAGAGAAAATCTTGTTGGCTTATATTTATGATTTATCACTTCTATCTTAGCACTAGAAATGTTTGGAGAGCAAACTAACTCTTCAGTTTGTGTTTTACTTTGCTTTTTTTTTAATCCATCTAAGCCTTGCCAGGCAAATTCATAATATTTCTATACCACTGCCAAATCTGCTGGAGAATGGGTGGGAAGACACATCTGGAATGCACTGAGGTGGTATTTTTGATAAGCCACAGCTTATGTGACTTAGGGGAAGGGCAGAGATTTGAAGATAGGCAAGAAACAAAGACAGGTTCATGATGGATAGCTGATGCACAAGCTATTGCATAGGTCAAGGAGAGCCACACCCAGGGGAGCACTGTTAATGCCTTGTGTTTCATGTGGCCTTTGGGCATATTCAGGATTCTTGAGCAGAGACTGATAAAAGGATGAGCCTGGACCCTCAAGTGACTAACAGAACAACAGAAAAACAAAGAAACTTGTAATGAATAAAGTGCCAGAATGCAAGCTGTTTGTACCAAGGTGAAAGGGCATTGATCATCTTGGGAATTTGGGTGCTTAATTTGGAATTTTGTTTAGGATCCTGCCCAAAATGCCTTTGATGACATGGGCCAGTATGGGTGGAGAGTTGTCTCTTATACCTACAGGATGATTAACAAGTCTCCACTAGCACTAAAACAAACAGAAGAACTGGTTGTACAGTCTTGGTAATTCTACCACTTGACCACGACTGCTTTTTGAGATCTTACGTGCATGCGGCCAAAGTGGGCAGAAAACTGTTAATCTCAGTTGTTCCATAACATGCTATGTGGTCATTTAGAATGGCTGCCAGAATGGCTGGATTATGCTCCTCTTTTTATAGTAGTGCTGTGCAGTACTGAGAATGAACAGCTTTGTGGAGATAACGTTGGCTTCCCTCAGGTGGGATGCTCTCTCCTCTTTCACAGAGGTCACTGGTGTGGCCTCACCTTGAGTGCCATGTACAGTTTTGGGCACCACAATATAATAAGCATATAAAGCTTATTATAGAGAGCATCCAAAGGAGAGCTATGAATATGATGAAGGGTCTGGAGGGGAAGTCATATGAGGAGAGGCTGAGGTCACTTAATCTATTCAGTCTGGAGAAGAAAGGACTGAGGGGAGACCTCATTGTGGTCTACAGCTTCCTCATTAGGAGTAGTAGAAGGGCAGGCACTGATCTCTCTGCTTATCAGTGACAGGACTCAAGAGAATGGCCTGAAGTTATGTCAGGGAGGAAAAGTTTTTCACTCAGGGGTGGTTGGGCACTGGAACAGACTCCCCAGGAAAATGGTCACAGCACCAAGCCTGTCTGAGTTCAAGAAGAGTTTGGACAATGCTCTCAGGCACATGGTGTGATTCTTGGGGCTGCCCAGTGCAGAGGCAGGAGTCAGACTTTGATGATCCTTGTGGATCCCTTCAAACTCAGAATATTCTGTGATTCTGTGATTTTGGCCTTGGTAAGTGCACACTGAAGATTTTCCACTTCTCTTGTTTCACCACTTCTCCACCCACTCACAAGTACCAGTAACTATTTCCCCATGTCTTCACAAGCTGTTACGGGCTCAAACAGCTTCCCAGCACTCTTTGGGAGAAGAGGCAGATAACACAGGGAGCAGTAGAGCTACACTGATACTTGGAACTGACAGTAGAGGTACCCAGTTAATGGACTCAGTGAGGGGGCTCAGATTTGCTTGCAGAATCCTGTGTGTCTCTTCTCGTGATCAAAGCAATTGTGAGAAATTGTGGTTTTCAATTCTTTTTTTTTTTTTCATATAGGAAAGAGGATGGCTTTGTGCAATGGCTGTTTAAAAATACTTCAAAAGAACTTGAATCAGTCCATGGCTGCACTATATACAAATTTAAAAAATTGATTTTTGGCAGCCTGTTAAGAGATCTATAAATTAAAAGGATTTCTGATACATTTCAGGGGACTTTATTTCATGTTGACTTTCAGAGTGCTCTCCCAGAGCTGAAAGTCAGCCACCAAACCAGATAGAGCTTCTCACTTTCATTTGCTCTGCTCTGCTGTCACAGGAGTCAGTAAATCTCCTTCAGGAGCACCCATGATCACAGTGGGTCCTGGACCCATGCCAGTTCTGCACCCTTGCCTTTCATTTCTGCTTCGAGAACTTTACAGCGAGAAATAGAAACTGCCCCAAACTTAACAAGAACCACTGCTCTGGGGAGTTAGTTTCTCTCCCTTTTTCTCCATCAGTAGAAACTGATTCCCTCACCCAGTTTGTGCTGCACCTGGGCTGTCCCCATTCTGTGCGCTGATGGCAATGGGTTCAGCTCTATCTGTGATGACCTAAAAATAGCACTCAATTAACATTGCATTTCAAGAATTGGAAAATTTCCCAGAAGTCCATTCTTTTTTTCTTTTTCTGTTTCATTACATTTTACAGTAATAATACACAAGCCTGTAGAAAACATGATGGGTAATGAAAAAATGTAATTAATATAAGCAGTGTAAAGCATTTTTTTTCCCTCTGTTGTCCTTGCAGAAAATTACTGCTTTAAACTGAGCAGGATGTGAAAATGCATAAAGCAAACAGTAATATGCTGTGGTTTGTAAATATCTTATGCAAAATAGTTAAGTCAACTGCTGTTTATTTTTCTTACTTTGTGTCACAAGCTCTTACTTTCTTTTGTTCATTACTTTTTCCATTTGTTCTCTTTTGGGGGCTTGCTCTCTTTCATCTTAAGGAAGTCACTGGCTTAACTATATTTTTTTTCAGCTACAGCTAATTCAATCACACATAGGACAGGCTATTCTGTCTCTTCTCTCCATCTCCTCCTGTTTGCTGTCTCTAAAATGCAAAATATTCTGCAAAAGTGTAGTGAGCCAGGTCCTCACTATAGAGAGGATCTGCTCTCATTGTTTTGGGCTTAAAAAAAAAGGAAAGTACTCACTTATCCTACAAACAAACAAGTAATTATCCCAAATCCTGCAACGGCTTTATGACAAACTAGCACTCCTGCCTGTTACTGTAGGATTCTGCAGTGTTTTTACAAGGCTGCCTGGCCACAGTTCTGGAGCGGGCTGTGAGCAATATGCAGACAACATTAACTAGTATGGCACAGTATATGCCAGCTCTCCTTGGAATATTTCTCTCTGGCTATCTGTAGAACTTGCAATACCCAGTGATATCTGAAGGTCACAGCAGAGTTTCTGAGCTGAAATACAAAACAGCATTCCAAACACATCTTCTGTGGCCAGACAAGAAACTGCTTATGGTTTATTTTCCCTCCCCCCTCTCCACAGCTGACATCCAGCATTAGTTATTGTTTATTTTTGTCTTGTTCCTAGTTCTAAAGGTTTCCCTTATGGCCCTGGTTTATGTGAACTTTCAGATATCACTCGGGGCTTCTCTGCCTCATCCCCTCTGATGTAGCTGGTTCCCCTGTGAAGGTAGGTTTCTCCAGCTGAAGATCTGTTCCTCTCTCCTGTGGCATTCTGTGCAGCCATTTGGAGTCCCAGATGTAGGAAATGAAATAATCCACGCTCATACAGTCATGAAAGTGCCCATCTGGCACACAGGAACATCACGCATTGGAAGCACACAAGCGTGAGCTCACTTTTGTTATGGCATTTCATAAACAGAGATGCAGTGAGCCAGCAAGTAAGGTCCTTTGGATAATAACAATCATCTCCGTCACACGTTGTGTTTAAAAAATAGGGAAAGAAAAAAATCAAGACAAACTGGAAAAATTTGCTCTGAGGAGAAATTTCTACTTATAAATGTTTTTTTCCCAGCAGCCTGCAGTACTTACACCTCTCTGGATCTCTCTGCTCTCTATGTAGATGTAAGACAATGGTGACAGTTGAAATGTAGCCAGTTAACTCTTAGTTAACTCTGAAAGCTCTTCTTCCTCACTGTTCAGTTAAAGAAAGAAAATATTAGATCATACTTAAAAAAGTGAGTTCTGTAATAACAAATTGCATGTTACTGCTTTCTTATCACTACGTAAAACTCATGGAAACAGTCTAATAAATGACCTCACCACTCAATTTTGAAGTATACAAATTAAAGACAGCAACAGATAAGCCAAGAGAGATTAATGTACAGTGTGTGTGCCTGTATGTGTGTGTTTGCATGCCTCTATGAGGATATACCCATATGCTATGGACATTCAACCTCTGGAATTATAATTAGGGGAAAAGGCAAATGTGTAAATTCATCTTGCTGGGCAGCATATATATGTTGCACTAGTCTCTGATTAATTCAGTACTTGAAGACTATTTACTCCAAGACAAAAGGTTTCTGTTGGTATATGTTGGCTAATAAAGGGGTGGAATATGATGAAACAATGAACAGCCCAAAATGATGGACTAAGTTCAATACCAGTAAGTAAAAAGCAAGGTTATTTATATTATTTTAGCTTTGTAAAGTAATTGAAAAAAGACACCCTAGGCATTTTGTTGGATGTCACTGCATGCTGTAAAGAAATCTTGGGATGTAATAAACTTCTCAAAACCCACACCATTAGTCCTGCTGACAGTGCTGGATCTTCAGAGGGATTGCTGCTCAAAGGGGTGAGATTTTTAAGGTCAGGAAAGAGCAGAAAGAGGTGTCAGGTCTCCTAAACCATTGCTGGAAAACCATGCTTGTTCCAAACTTGGGGCCTGGGCCTGCTAAGGGCAGGGGCCTGCCACTCCATGGTTTATGAATATTATAAATTACAGGTAATAGTAAAAGAAAATAGCATCTGAATTTCACATGACCCAGTTTTGTATTGTATTTGGCAAACAATAGCTGGTCCAGTATATTTTAAATACTAAACTGGGAAAACAACAAGATGTTTGTAAATATGATAGACCATTACAATATACTGCTTCTCATTTGAAAAGTCATTTGTGCAAGAAATTATTATTGACCCATAATATGTAAATGATTGAAATGCAGAAATTAATATTTGGGTCAACTCATGTATTTTTCAACCATGAAATGAAAAGCTCAGCATTCACATTCCAATTCATACACAAAAGCTTTACAGCACTATTACTAGGCTATTGTATTAATTTATTATTGTCTTAGTTAATGACATACAGAGTTATATCTCTACTTTCAAATGAGGAAAAAGCATTGTATGCCACAGTAATGTTTCAACCCCAAATGACCCTTATTCTGGACTCTTCTTTACTGGTGACAATAAGCCAAATTCAGAGCTGATATGGAAGCAAATAAATAGCATTGTTTGCATTAAAGAGGTTTTGGCCCTAACACACCTTAAAAGTTGCACAGGGAGGACTGTCCCCTGTGTTGCAGCTCCTCTGTTCCCCTTAGGAACACATGAGTGTGATGCTCCTTATTTACTGCAATTAACCTAAAAATATAAATCAGCACAGGATCAGTGCATTTAGTACTGTGAGGTAGTTGTCTTTATTCTAAGGGGTTTTGTTTCTGCTCCCTCCTACTCTTTCCTCAAGTCATGGGGAAATCAGTGGGAGTGTGGGGTTTCTAACAGGACTGGTGGGAGTGTTCATTCTTCCTGAGGGAGCTGCAACAGGCCCCTCAGCCGAAGGTGACTTTTGTTCCAGTGACTTCAGTGCTCATGAAACATGCCAGCCCAGAGACTCAGGTGCTCTCTCTCTCCCCAGAAGGAGTGTCCCCAGACCCAGAGCAGCAGGTCAACCTTAGTCCATGCTATGCTCTGTCCCTGAGGCAGTACATGACTGTGCTGAGGCACTTCGTCAGCCATTCAGTGCATAAGTGCTCGGTTGAGGTTGTCAGTAAGGGCCAAGCTGTGCAAGCTAGACCAGCAATATGGTTGGATCTTGGATTATTATCCATTACATTTCAACTCCATTGGCTACTAGATTTAGCTGAATTGAGTCTAAGTTAAGGCCAGACATTCAAATAATTCATTAGTATCCTATAAACTGTGCACTCCATCTTCATTGCTTTTTATGCAAAAGTAAACAATGCCTTGTTCTTTGTGCCACCAGGTATTGTATCATTTCATGGGTCCATCTCTTTAAACAGTCGCACAATTTAAATACAAATAAAGGTGTGAGTAAAATCTATGTAGAATGATATTCACAAAAATGAATGAAAGAGAGATGGGCAAAACAATTTAGATAATACTCAAAAGTAAAGCATCACAGCTAAATCAGGATTAACCCAGGGAGCATGATGTATTTCATGAAATGGTTTTGGTATAGTCTAGAACTACAATGACTAAAATTAAGAAGGGCAGTATTGCATCAAGGTTGCTCCAGTGTTCAAACATGTCACATGCATATTGAGTCATGCCTTAAATAGTGGACCTGATTTCTTTTTTGGTTAAAATTATATATAATTATATTTGCATATGTTTTATAGACAAAACATTTTTAAAATTTATTTTGCATTAAAATATTTTATATTCTAAAAAGAAGTTATTTTAAGCAGCTCTAAATGGCAATAGACCCAGCTCTGCATGGCTTGCAAATTAAGGCAAGATAAGTCACAGTATAAGAGTATGTTTGGGTGGTGAAGAACAAAGGTGGTATTCCAGCACTATATAAAACCCTGATGAAGGTGAAGCAGAGGTAGTCGTGGTATTCAGTGATGTACCCACTGCCCTCGTGGTGTGATTAGGAAACTGCCTACACTGGCCAACTGTATGGGAGGGGCAACATCCTCTTAGTCCTGCCCAATTAATCATCCTCTGGTTTTCTCAGCCTCTGGTGCAAAAGGCAGACCCAGTTGACTAATTCTGGCAATAGAGGCCCTACTTGTCAACAAGCCCTCCCCTTGATAGAGGTGTGATTTAGTTTTAATTTTCTTTCGGCCCATTCATTTATTTGAGGCTAATGGCTGACATGAATCATAGCATTAAGAGGGAGAAGCATCATTTGTACTAGCAACCTAAAAGAGATGGCATGTCCACCAGAGACGGCAGGAGCAGAGGATGCAGTTTCTTGATGCTTGGAACACAGGGAAAGTGGATTGGCAGAGTGACTCACCAAAACACAGTGTCCTGCCTTGCTCATATGGAGGGCAGCATCAGCTGAGAGCACAGCCAAGGTGTAAGCGGAAGAACATGGACTATTTTGCAACGGATTTGTGTGGGAGTCTCAAACTGACAAGGTGATGATTACCGTGGCCCCAACCAAGTGCAGCCTTTGTTTAACTTTACTAGTATGAGTAAGCTAATTGGCGTCACTGGGCTTGTATGTGTGCTTAAAAGTTATGGCTGTGTTAAAATGCTTTGGTGGGTCAGGAAATTATGGGTGTTTAGCACCTTGCAGGACACAGCCCGGGGGTCAAGCCTCGCCCTGACCTTCTGCAAAGCAGGGGGGTGCTCTAAGGGCCTGATTTTGCTCAGCCTGTGGTTGCATTGCCCCACGCCCTCCACAGCCACATAATGCTGGGGATTGTCTAAATCACGAAACCACGTCGTACCAGGGCAGCCAAAAACAACAATAAAATTAGCAGGAGCCAGTCCAGCTGACTCTACAAGAAGCTTCAGAGTTTCAAAATTAATCTTAAATTTACCTCTAACCCTGAAAACAAAACTAATTGCAGAATGTAAGACTCCTTGAACATGTTAGGGAACTTGATAGGAATACCTCAGAAAAAAACAAAACCACTTTAGATAAACCCCCCATTTTAATTGTATCAATTCTGCCAATTAATGATAATGGAAGAGCAGCCCAATTAGCTAAATAGCTAATAGTTTTATCAAGCAGAGGCTGGCAATTTAAAGCAAACAAATTCATTCTAATTTTATCCCCTTGCACACCAAGATGTTTAAAGGATAATGGGGGATCCAATAAAGGATATTGCTCAAATAGAGCTACATTTAAATCGCCTAATGGCTTTAAGAGTTTTACCCCAATTAACAAAGAAGAAACATGAACATTCAGTGACTTGCAGCATAATATCTAAAAATCTTCATTAAAAAAATAACATATTCTGCAACTAAGGGCAGAAAGGAAAATATCACTGACTTTTCCCTTAAAAACACTGATTTCTCCCAAAACAAAGGCTCCTCTGTAACAGCAAAAGTATAAGAGAAAAAGGACTCTCATGTCTAAGCCTCAGTATATAAATCATCTTCAAACTACGCTCATTAGTTTTAACATAACTGTGGATTTGAATAAAGGAGATTGACCTATCTAACATATTTAAGACCAAATCCTACTGTTACCTAAATCTGAAATAAGTTAAGGCTATTGAAGAGAAACAAAAGCCTTTTCAAAATCAATAGCCAGAACAAATTCCCCATGACCATAATTTTGAGGATAAAAAATCCATTAAAGTGATGTCTCTGATTGCTATTAATGAAGCAATCTGGAATAAATCCAGAGTGATCCATATGGATAATCGAATCTCTTATTTTCTCACATTTTACAGATTTGGGCCCTGATTTATATGACAGTGATGGGCAAAAGGCTCCTTTCCTTTTGACACTGGGCTACCCAGCCTGGACAGCTGATGGTACAGCCTCTAAAGGGAGCTGGAAGAGCAAAGCACTCCATGCTCAAAGAAAGAAGGGCTCAAATAAATAGACTTCCAGCCTCCACCACAGATACCCAAATACCTCTCCTTCACTGCCAGTCTTGTGAAGGTTACTGTGGGCTGTAGAAACCACCAACGTGCTGCTAATTAACTGGCACAAATCTCTCTCCCTCGTATCCCCCTCATCACTCAGAAGTGCTTGTCACTCTCACTGGCCTGCCAGGCTCAAGCAGACAGGGATGTCACCCCTGTGGCAGAGGTGGCCACCAGGAAAACCGAAAGTGAAACCTCTGACTGGAGTTTAGCTAGTTTTTGGGGGGAGGTAGAAGGACTCTTCACTGTTAAGCTTTTGTTTCCTCTGTCAAACAGTAAGAGAGATTTAGGCTTCTCTCTTTTTTTTAATAATGTCATGAACCCAGAGGCAATGAACCCCCCTCATTCCTGGAGCTGTGTGGAGTGGGTGCAGAAGTGGCCCTCTTCTTCCTTGTTCCCCCCCAGAATGCCAACCCAGCAGCTTTAATGCTCTCTTCCTCTGCCATATTCTTTCCAGACAGGAGATTTCAGCACCCATTTTATGGCCTCCAGATAAGTCCTAACCAGTCCCTTCATCCACTAGCAGTCTCTCCCTTCCCTGCATGCCCTGCTACCAGTCAGACCCTCCCCATGAGCCTTCCCGCCTTCCTCCCTCCCCTTGTGCCTGCATCTCTTCTCCCATCTGGTTGTTGTCTTACCTGGTGCCTTGGTTTCTCCTTGCAAAGCTGCCCTTTCCTATTTTGATTTCCTTGAGCTGGCTGAAAATTTGCCACTTATCTGAAATTTTGGAAATTCCATCAGAAGACCAGTAGTGCTAGAAAGGAATACAAAGTTTTCATTTGTGACTGCTTCTTTTTGTCCACCTCCTTCACCTTCCCTTGAAGTCAGAATTGCCTGTGGTCTGGAAACTGTCCACGCCACAAGGCCAGGACTTGGCCCCTCATCTCTGAGCAACAGTGCTTCAGTCAGAATGCAATAAAGTACTTGTATTATATGAACTGGTAGGGATTGATTTTTATTTGAAACCAAATTTTAGGTTTCAAGCAAGAACAAAAAAGTTAGACAGCAGGTCAATACACTTTGTGTGGGTATCACAATAGTTCAGAAAGATTCTGAACCTTCTCACCTTTATTATGATCCTAAACTATCTTTGAGTCCAATTTAATTTCACAGGCGTAACAGATCCTTTTCCTTCTAATTTCCTGACTGCACACTGAAGGTGAAAGCTCAGGGGTTTAATTTTTTTATATACCTTTATCCAAAGCAGACGCAAGAAGGTCTTTAGAAGTCTGATCTCTACATACATGTTCTACTAATAGAACCCTCTGCCTTTCAAACAGCTGAAATTATATACAAAGGCTTTCACACCAACTTCCCAACTGATAGTCTCTTGTTGCTCCCACTCCTGCAATTCTTTTCTTCATTTAGTTGCCACTAAAAGCTATGCAACTCCAAGCCATTTTTTTTTTACAAGTGCTGCTTCTATCATGTCAATCAACATGGATACATGTGTTAGGGGTGTCTCTTTGTAAAGGGGTGCCCTTGGGTGACCAGGGTTGGTAAAAATTGCTGCTTTTCCATATGACAGCGGAATTAAGACAGAAGCTGTCTCCTTTTTAGACTCACTGAAAATGACGGAAGCATAAAAAAACTAAGACCAAGCACAGTGGGTTGAACAAAAATCCAACTATCCCAAATATTTTATGTCTGATAATTACCAGTAGTGGATATTCAGAACTGGAAGTGTAAGAACAGATCAAAGGCTGAAGTTTGGTCGGTGTTATGCACTCTCCCACTAATCTGTGGCTTAGGCAATCTTTTTCAGACCCACGGGTAGCATGTGGTGGGTTACCAAAATCTTCAAGCTAGACTGGAGACCAGTTGTTGACAATGCTTGAGAATACATAGTGATTGCTGTTATAATGATAGAGTATAAATATTTTTTCCTACTTCTTAGGGGTCTGAAATGATACCTGTAACTCATCTAAATGGATCTTCTTTGCTCCTCATTGCCCACAGCACTGAATAGTTTTCCTCAAATCCTTTAATAGGCTTCAATCCGAGAGGTGAAAACAGACACTATATCATAAGCTTTTTGGAATCTGTGCAGACACAGTAGCTCTGGACACACCTGTGAAATGTTAAGACAATTGTTAGGAAAATTGGGAGAATTCAAGGAGTTGAACCAGCAGTGGCAGCTTCAACATTCTCTACCGGTGATGGGAGAGAGCAACAATTCACTACCAACATTTGCCCTCGTAGATGGGTGTTTCTAACAACAAACGTGCTAAGCCCTGGCATTTGTAGGATAGTTTGGAGATTGTGGAGCAGCCTCCAGGAAGCTTACCAGTGCCAACACAGCCCAGCCAGGTGACAATCTACAATGATTACAGGAATTTTACCACCAGAGGAGAACAGATTCTGCTCCTAGTTACAGTGATCTAAGCTGACAGAACTACTACTACTAAAGCAAACAAAACTACTGTGACTAACTCAGGTACAGGAATAATCTGCTCCAAAGCTCCTAGAATGCATGTTAGGTTGTGATGAACAGATATAACTACAGATATAATTATCTCACTACGTTGGGTAAAAGCAAGAGAAAGACACAAACCTTTTATGATGTTCTACCCATTAACAAGAAACCTGAACACATAGCTTATTTTTATAAATAAATGTGTAACCTGAAGAATAGTTGCACACACTCATTTGCATAGGATTTGGTATACATCTGTAATCTTCAGCAGATTGCTCCAAACCTTGTGTATTTCATATAATTAATGTCAATATGCTTGGCTTATTTGTTATAAAAGAAAAGGGCTTCTAATTAGCCTTTTTGATGTGCAAAACTTCAGCATTTCTCTCTAGTGTTTTCCAGATCAGATTCCTTATTTTATACTACTACGTGAGCTTTATGCACCACTTCAGACTAACTCTGAAGATAGTTTAAATTGCGCACACGTGATAACTAGGCCTTGACCCGGCCGTCACCATGGGCTGAGGTCCACCTACTATGAGCAATGTTAGAAGTCCACATAATACAAACTGGCCTTGTGACAAGTCAAACATTCCAATTTCCTGTCAAATTCAACCAACACTTTGCATATTTCCCTTTAAAATAGTGACACATACAATCTATTTTTCAACCAAAGCAAACTCGACTTGTCTTCACTGAACCTCAGGAGAGTCTTTGAGAAGAACAAAACCTTCACAGCAGTGACATTCGGAGGCTTATCACAACACACCAGGGACACAAGTAAATCTCAAGCAGTAAAAAAGAGTACAACTGTGGTGAGCTGCCTAGATGTAGCAATAAAGAAGGTCAAGGTGAGCATTTTTTATACCAGTCAACCCTGCAGAAAGGCCAGACAAATTAAGAAGTTTTTGACAAGCCAAAGGATTGGTTCTAGCAGCAGCAAGTAACAGGAGGGTGGAAAGCTGAGTGTACAGACTCCTGTCTTACTCCTCTTTTCCTTGGGAGACACTCAGCACTGAATTTACATTTAAGTAAAACCATGGTACAAGACTGACTGGATGCCTGCTGGAAGCAACTGGAATATTTTTCTTTTACTTTGGGTCTTGGATTAAGCTCTAAAGGAGATCAGAGCTAGATCTGGTCTGTGGAGGCATACAGGAAAAATAAATTGTACTTCTCTATTAAATTGGACATCCAAAGTGCTTTATTGAATGCTGAAATGAGATGTGAAATTCCATGAGAAGCTCAGGTTGCTTTTCTTTCCCATGTAGCTTTCATTTAACCCAAAGAGGCTTATTTTCCATATCATGGGGCCCTTCATCCTGAGCAATAAATACAGTATCTTCCCTAGAAGCTTTCCAGCCTTGGCAAGAGAGTGTACATTGACGTCGTTGGTTGATTTGTTAATTCAAATAAGAATAGCACATTTCTAAAACTTTGGCCAAATAAACATCTTTTTGGTTGTTCCAATGAGCTAATATTGTTGTAGAAACCTGGAAGCAGCAGTCGAGTCTTTGATGATTTATATAGTGGGAGTCATCTAGTAGCTAATTGTCTGCAATTTTTAACCTTACTCACATGCCCTGCTGATTCTTCCAGCATTTGCAGTTTTCTCCTTAAGCTTTCTTACATCTCTGTATGTAACATTTCCAGACAGCAGCTCAACTTTATCACAAATATTTTTATGAACTTGCCAAACCACATCCAAGATCTTCAGACTCAAAAGTGAAAGATAAAATCATCCTCGGAGGGCACCTCACCCTTCTGCATCCAGGCACATGAAAAAAACCCAGCTTTAGGCTCTGACATTTTACATTTATGATGAGTCACAGCTTAGGGTTTTTTGGGTGTTTTTTTTTTTTGTTTTGGTTTGGTTTGGGTTTTTTGTGTTGAAATTTTTACCTTTCCCATCTTCTCCTGGATTTCTCACTTTTGATCCATATAAAAAGAGAGAAAATACTGGTGAGCCATGTACAAGAACCATCCACATTTTCTGTTTGCACTGCAGATCTTACCATCTCTGTAGTGCTGGCCCCAGTGAAATACATGCCTGTCAGTCACTGCTGATGTACCACAGGAGGAATGAGTGATGACCAGGTAGGAAAGTTTTGGCTGGGAGCGCAGAAGACTTTTGAACCATATTGGCAGTATCTTAACAGACCAGAATTAACTAAAATGCACAAGACATTTGATGGCTGTAACCTAGATCTTACCTAGAAAAGTTCAAAGAATAATCTGATTCACTGTGTGGTTCTGTTCCCACCATGGTTTATGGGTTGTCCTGATGTCTGTCAAGTCATAAAAATACGTTTCTAGTCACATTTCTGGTTAATCTCATGTGATTCTTCATGAGATAGAAAGTTCTTCTGGTTCTTTTTCTGCCTTCAATTATTCCAGTGCAATTCATGACTCAGCAATTGTCACATGTCCATTTTGGGGTAGTTTCATGCCATGAGCGAATGAAGGCCTCTTTATGCCTGGTTTGTGTCTCCTATTTGTATGTTTATGAAGAAGCCTGGGTCTCTGAGGAGATGGAAGACAGTCTATTCGCTCAATATTATTACCATCCTCTACTATGATCCATGCCTGTGGGAAGATATTTTTAAAAATAATAAGTTCTATTTTGCTAATGTAGCCATTGTTTAAATGTAAAATATAATTAGAGTATCCACCCAGGGTGTATGCTGTTGTGTAATTTCATAACACTACATCTAGATGAGTGTTGGCATTCTACCTATGTACTTAACCACACCCAGGAATGCTAGTATTACACAATTACACACATCCTGTTGACTAATTACATAATAATTAGTATTTTTAATACTCAAAGATGCACTCCAATAAGTTATGCAAGATTTTATGTCATTGCAAATTAAAGACAAAATATACCATATATATAGTGAACAATACTGTTCACTCAGTATTACTGAGTGAACTGAGCCTGGACTGAGCTTCCAGCAGACAGCACAAAATACTTCATACTCAATTTTAAAAATGTATGACATTTTAAACACATTTGGCAGACCCTCCCTTCCCCACTGTTACTTTGGGTTACACCTGTTTTTAAAACTGTTAAAGTAATTTTGTATTCAACACAGAATTTCTGTAGTCTGCCTGCTTCTGAGTTATAATCACTTATCATGACCAGAGATAATTTGCAGCTGAAAAAGCACTGTGATGTGCCTGGGGAAGGAAGATTGTTCTTTTCAATCGCAACTCTGGAAGGAATCTGGAAAATGCACTTTAAGTTACCAATTACCTACAAAAATATCCCAAATACTGTCATTTTAAGAAAGCGCTAATGGTGAACCCTCGCCACTTGGATTTGGAACGGATTTTCCAGAAGCTTGAGTGGAGTGTCTTGATCTGGGCTGTTGGTTCTCCTGATGTTGATGAGAGGCCAGACGCAAAGCCTGTCTCACCATTTGGATTTGGGAGCTTTAAGATCATAGACTTTTGTCTATGCAAACTTGTCTAACATGTACTTAAAAAAAATGTGTGTAATGTAACTTCTAAATTTGCTGTATTCTTAATTCAGTGAAAATTCAGAGAAGGTGGCACAGCAGCTGAGCCCTGTGTCTTGTCTAGGGCGTAGTTTTATTAGCTGCTATGCACCAAGTGGATAGTATATGATGTTTCAGTACTGTTTCTGGCCTGCCACTGATAGTTTATCTGGAGTCCTTAGTTGTGCACAAAGATCTTTATGATGGAAAAGATGGAAAAGATGGAAAATATGGGCCTCCAACTATGTGTTTGCGAGGCAACAGTAAAGAGCAACAAACCTTTTGCACATAGTTTAATTTTTTTTCTTTTCATGAATTTGATTTTTAACTTCCCAGTTACTGTGGCAGTAAATGATTTTTCAAGACCTTGAAAACAAACTTCTCACCAGGAGTTTGTATTTGGACTGTTTCTCTTTTCAAAGGGCAAGAGGTTGTAGTGCAAGACCAGCTTCTTTCAGTTAATCTGAAGAGTAACTTTTTGCTGCCCTGCTAAATTAAAAATTGTCATTTTAGTCTAAACATTTGCCCTTGCCAGGCAGTTATTTTTAGTGAACTAACATGTATATGAAAGCAAAGTGGGGCTGTTTGGAAGGAGCATGATGTGAGACTGCTGAAATAAACAATACTGCTCAGTTCATGGATGTAGTGCAAGGTGGCTTCACAACTGCCCTCAAAGCCTCAGCAACCCCTTTTCTCTACCCCAAATATCAGCAATAAAGTCAGTACAGTACTGCACTTTGCATCTGGAAGACACTTAAAAAGAGGCCAGCTTTTTAAATTTGTAACTTAGGCTCTTGTTACTTCTAAAGGTTCTTCTTTTATGTTCACTGTTTTCTTTCCTAGTGTGCTTCACCTATGACTCTGGCAGGCAAGAAATTTCTGAGGGACAGGGGAACCATCCTCACCTATTTACCTTGGTCACCAGTGGCAAGCAAACAGCAACCTGATTTCACATTGGGAACCAGTTTGCTCTGAGAGTAGTTGCTTAAAAAACTGTTCTTCAAACATGAAGCCCCAGTGGACGTGATTGGTCAAATCCCTCTTTTCCCTTCTTTCCTAAAGAAAAACAAAGCCACAATGAATTTACACACTTTGTTATTTTCCTCCAACAGAAATGCTGTGACTCATCTGCATATATGATGAACCGTATTTCATTATGGAAAATAAGCCACAACAAAAAAATTTCACCTGGCCAGCAACATAAGACCAACTTGTTTCCTGATGTGATTTTAAATGGCTGAGAAATTAAAACACTGAAAAATGGGGTTCATAATGGAAATACTGACAGACTATTAACTATAGCGGTGCTGCTCTAATAAATGAAATAGCCTGTCGTAATCTCTAATTCATAAATATGCAAATACAAGGCAGAGGATTTGCTCCAAAGGATGTCTCTATAATTTTAACTGACCTTTACTGATACTAAATGAGCCTGTTGCTTCTGGGTTTGCACATTAAAAAGAAAGTACAGGCAATCCTGTTTCTCTGCATCCAAGACCCACTTTAGCTCCCGTAAGTGCCAATGGCAAAATCCTCACTACCTTCAACAGGAAAAAAATCTGGCCCCAGAGCATCTAAAATGTGAGACACCTGGCATTAAACTGAACTCCTGACTGTACTTGATTTTAATTCTGTTCTCATCTGTGTTAATTATTATTATATTAATTCTTCTGTTTGAGAGAAATTAAGCACACATTTGCTCCATGTGTCAAAGAGCTTGACCTGCCAAAAGGCACTTACTTGCTCAGTGATAAACAGACCATCAACACAATGATATAAATGTTGAATTTTAGCCAGTTTCCTGTTCTGCACCAAATGGAGGTAAATCCACTGACTTAATATTTAATAACCTAAATGTAATTTCTTTTTTGTGCCTTGCATTGCACAGTAAAGAACTGGATGGCTAGCAGTTTTGCAAATTCCCAACCCCTAATTATTTTAAGCTATTCATCCTGGTATCTGTCCATTGATGCTCAGCCAAATTGCCAGCAGGGGAGAGATCTGTCCAATCCAGGAGCTAAATGAGTCACTGAGAGTCAATCTGTTTTTTTCCCTTGCTGCTGGGATTTCCTTGGGTCCTGGCCTCTCTCTGCTCCAATCACACAGACACAGCTCCAGGCGTGGGTCCTCTTTGGCTTCAGCTGCCTCCTGTTCCCCATGTCTGGTCTGCTCATCACAGCTGTTGATGGGTTCTCGCCGGCTGGCCACAGAAGACCAATGCTTCCCTCACACTGCTCTTACAGCTCTTGCTCTGAAGGAAAATGAAGACATCTTGGCCTTGTTGAATTTGCTGATGAAGTAATACATCAGGTATCTAGAGGGAAAGCAAACCACATGAATAAAATGTGTCATCTGGGTTAGATACTAATTTATTTGCCTTAAGTTCTGGGAACAATATTTGCACTTTTTCCAGAGAACTCAGCTAAGTTTCATAGAAATTGAACACTAATATGATTTTGTAGCATGGAAAACAAATACGAAACAGAGAAAAAATAGACTCATCAGAAATATTAGGTGCTCGCTATTAAAATATATGACAATGTTGCAAATACAATTTATAAACAGGAACATTTAGAGCCTAACTATTCACTAAAAAGCAAATTCCCTGCTTCCTCCCTTCTAGGGTCAGGATTCAATTACACAAAAATATGCAGCAGGCTTAAGGACTGCATGTAAGATTAAGATAACTGGTATTTCATGGTAAATGATTAAATTAGCTGACACAGTTTTATCCTGAACTTTGCCATTAAAACTGACATTTTTGTGCCACGCACATTGTAGGCTGCTGGTAATCTAAACTGCCTTTCTTCTTTCAAAGGCTTTAAATAGCTGAAGAACTCTTGTTCTTTACTCTATTTGCAAATGTGTGGAAAATATATCTACAACATAACAAGATGAACTAAGTACAGGACTTTTTTTTCCCCTCATCTATCATACAAATACCTTGAGAAAGCAGCAAAGAAGTTCCAAATGCCCAGATTCAGCTCTGCAACATGCACTTTAATCAAATAATTTATGTGACTCCACAGAGATGAGAACATGCTGTCCTCCTCACAGTGAGTGAAAATAGAGAAATGACAGAAGCCTCTTACTAAAAACTTAATTATTCCTAGTATACAATTCTAAACCACTCTATGTTTATTCTTCTTCTTTTCAGGCTTGCTTTTTTATGATGGCAGGGAGTTATGGGAATAATTTTGATATAAACCAGACATAGAACTGTATGGGTGAAATGCTGTCAGAGCTGGTGGTTGTAGTCACTGCCCTTCAGTTGAGCTAGCTGGGAAGGAGCAACTCAACTCCTTGGTGAGGATACTCAGTCTTCAAAGCAAAGTGCAGGCACGTGTCACTGCACAGAGTAAAGGTAAAGACACTCTGATCAGAAACATGAAATGTGAGAGAAGCATATCTCCTGAATATTGCACTGAGAGACCATCAGACTGGGTAGGAAGAAAAGCCACAGAAGCACTGCAGAAATGGAGAGGTGGCATGGCATGCAGACAGTGCATCCCTAAAAGAGGCCAAGGGCCGAAATGTCTCACAGGCAATTGAATAAAATTATCTTTATAGCTGTTTGACTTGTCCTGTGTCCTTTTTATTGTAAACATATAGTTACATAAAAGCAGTTTGTGACTCTCACAACACTTTCTCCTCATGATTAGTATAACGTTGAATATCTCAAATGTTTATCTAGCTATAAAGTTCAAAAGAAGTGGCTCTAACAATACAAAAGCACAGGGACTACAATACTGGTCCAGAACAGTGGTCCAGCATGTCCAGTCTTTCAGAGATGGCATCCTTACACACTTGTGAAAACAATGCAATAGGAATGACAATTATTATTACAAACTACCTGAATGGGACACTTAACTCCCCACACACAGGCTCCAAAAATTGAAGCTTTATGATGAAATCATGCATACTTCGTATTCTACTTCTTTCTTTGCACTGGCACAAAGATAAAAGAAGTCTCCAAACATTGACTGTACAATTTGGAAGGGTGAAGACATACCTCTGTGCATGAACGCTATACTAGTAACCAAAGCCTCTGCTACAACAGGTAGTGTAAGCTCAACAGACATCAGAGAAATGGGGATTTTTATTCCAGTAGAGAATTTGGCCCTTTATTCTTAGTGCAGACTTATCAGAGGTGTGTGCATAACAGGAATGCTATGGCAAAATTTCTGGATACCTTGTTATCCATAAACAGTTGAGCAAGACTTAGGACTCTTTTTCACATCTTGGATCTTCTACCAGTTTTAATAAAAAAGAAGAAGAAATACAGCTTTTTACACAGCACCTTCCCCAGCAGTTAAAAACTGTGGTTTGTACAACACTTGCACAGTCACACCACTATCATCAAAGGATGACTTTCATCCCTGAAAGTCATGATGGTCATGAAGTAAAAAAAAGGTGCACAAAGACAGTCTCATTGTTTGAGAAGTCATGCAAATGTTGAACAATTAAACTCAATCTGATGATCAAAATTCAAATCTGTATGACGATCTCACAAACTGTGTTATTCAATTAAAACTTCTTAGTTCTCTTACATAATTTTTTGGCTTTTATATATCATGCAAAAGATACAGCTACTTTTAGTTCTCTTTGTATGTTTTAAACTTCGAAAACCTTTCACAGTAGAGGTTATATGAATCATCTAGCTTTTTCTATTTCAAAATGTTTCACTGATCATTCATTATTAACTAAGTAAAATGAAGATAGCTATGATAAATTTTGATCTATCTCAAAGTATTAGAAAGGATATGAAAACATCTTGTTCATAGTACTAACTTTTAGATGACATATGACAGTACAAGTCCAGTTTTTTCACTGTCACATACAATAAGGCTCTTAATAATCCAATCACTTATTATTTTTTTTCCCAATTCCTAGGCACTAATAGTTTCAGACTGCTCTGCCACTTAGCAGAAACAAATTCAAACAATATAGCCATGAAAGGACTGGATGTGGGTGACAGGAAGCCTATCAATGCCAGAGATTAGGATCCTAAAAAATGTCTAGTTCTTTTCGTAATTAATGTAGGTTCTCTAAACAGTTCTACATACATCTATGCCTTGATGTCAACGCTCTGGCAAGGGAATAAGAAGTCTGTGGCTGCTGTTAGATCTGGGAGTCATGTCTTTCAACACATCTCAGTAACTGGTGCTCTTTTACTAAATATACTGCAATATAACTGTACACAAAACTTGAAATGCTCCTTTTCAAGCAGCTGAACACAGGAATAAAACACAACCTAGAGAAGAACCTTATTAACCCAGAAAAAAAAAAGGGGTTGGTTCATTTTAGTGAGTCAAGATCCTGGCTACATCTTGCTGCTCGTCATTTGGCTATCCAGGCAGATGGGCCAGACTGAAGTTCACGGGGCCGCTTGAGATGTACTACCAACCGAACATGTTTGGAAAAAGCTGTTACACTATTATACTCATTTACATCTTAAAATGCTTTCAGTTTCATACAGCTACACTCAGCTTGGGTTCTCCAGGGCCAGAGGGGATCAGGCCTATATGTAAGGGAAGCAGACAAGGACAGAAGTTGTGCAAAGCTGTCCATGGACTTATTAAGAGCTTGATTATGTACCAATGAAATCAACAGGAGTTTGGCTCTTGTTTGCAATGAGAGGTGGATCAACGCTTTATGCCAGCTGTTCCCTGCTGGGTAGGGATAATCCCTTTGAAACTAAATATTTAACTTGTTCTCACTCTGTTGTTGTAAGAAGGCTTCCCATGATAATGCTTTCATGAGAATTAAAAGGTGTGTCCCATTTTTTTTCTTACAACGCCCCCCTCCTGTAGCATATAGTTCCTGATCCAAACAAAAAACCCCCCAAAAACCAACACCCTGCTATTAAAGCATGTGGATTTACAAAAAATGCCACAGAACTGAGTTACAGAGTGGATCACCGTTTTGTTCCACTGGCCATGAGAGCACTTCTTGCAGTTTCCTCAGCCAGAAGATGCAGCAAAGAGGCACATTAATTCAAACAGCTACAACTGAAGTGGGATCCCACGGGCAGAAGTAAAATAACTGAGGTCCCTGCAGGCAAATAAGAAGATGATAAAAAAAATAAACTTCCAGCATTCATGAAGGAAGTCACGAAGTACAGAGTGTGGGAAAACTATTGGAGAGACAGGAGCTAAGGGAGGACAGTATTAACAATAAAATCAGATATGTGGGTCCTGCAGTCTGTATCTGAGTACAGCATTTAGTTGCTGTTTCTGTGTTTTGTTTTTATGTTTTACAGAGGTTCTGAAACATGTCTGAAGCTGCCCAGGTTGCTCTACAGACCAGCAGCACACAGTGGCTACTTCTAGCCCTTGCACATGTTAGTCAAATTCAAAAAGAATGTGAAAGTTGGGCCCATTTACATGAGCTCTCAGTTTGGTTCACTCCCTCTCACCCCTCTGGCTGAGGTCCATTTGGCTAATAAACCTGGAACATAAAGTCTGCTAAGTTTTATAAAGCAATTATTTAACTTAAAAATTCTCTTCTCTTGCATTTTAATGAGGTTTTCATAAAATATAGGGTCTTCGACAACATCCAGAGAACTTTTGTTTACTCCATAAACCATGACACTTTTTGAAAAGCTCTAGATGACTTAAAGAGAGGAAACTTCCAGTGTCAGAGTTGTTTGGTCTGGCAACTGGGAACTGAGCTTTCTGTAGAGTTACATCCTCCAGAAGCAGGAAATGTATGGAATCATTTGAGCTTAAGAGACTGTGACATTTTTATAGAATGAAAGGAGGAACTGAGAGATACAATGACAGAGCCGGGAGCTGCAGCTGGCTGGCTGTTCCACGGAGCATTCCCCTTATAGATTTTTATGACTCTCCTAGCCCTAATATTAAACACTTGACCTTTTTGTCAAATACTATTTTAGATTATTAGGTTGGATGATTAGTTACTAAACATACCATCTACAGTAAATAGGAAATTGTGTAGTCTGATGCTTCAGTCTTAGAGCTTTCAGGTATTGGTCCCTTGGTATTTAACATCAGAATGCTGAGTGCCTTATATTAACTTAAGTCATTTGGTAAGCAAGAAGTGCACAGCATTTTCACATAGGGCAGAGGGATTTCTGAGGTAGCACCAGAATAGAGACGTCTTCATTCCCTTGCCTCTCCTCACTCAACTCATAGCTTTAAGGAGAATGCTGTAAACATAGCGAAGTCAGGAATAGCCAGGAGCTAGCTCGTGCCAAACAATACACCCTAATCTACAGCCTACAAATAAGTGCATTTACCTTTTAAAGTTCTGTAAACCAGCACTTTGCAAATGACTCTGCCCTGTG